CATACGTATGTACACACGTGTATACACTGTTTCTGAAAACGTTATTACGTCAGGTTATGAATTGCACTTTGATTCTGTTTTAAAACAATTTGTATTGTCTAGTTTTAAGTACTATTTAAGTTGCCATCGCTGGTCTAATTCAATCTTTTTGCTTTGTCCATTTCCCCCTTGCGGCCTTCAATCCCGTGTTCTGGTCATTTCCACTTTGGGTTGATATCGTAGTTGCCATTATGACTTCAGAGATAAAACCTAAGTCCCCTGGGAGATCTGTCGCCTGTACTTGGGATGAACCCAAAACTGCTTTGGAAGCTATTGACATGTTCACTGGCGAAGCGAAGGCTATGGGTTATGAGGGGGAGGACTTAAATCGGTATGTTTGAGAGGAGGTAAAAGAGTGGAAGAAAGTAGACCGTGAAAATAGAGCCTTACGCAGAGACGTGGAAGCGAAGGCGAGGGAACAGGAAGCCAGAGCGAGAGAACAGATTGAATTAGCGAAAGTTACGGCACAAGAGAATATTCGGTATGAGCGCGAAAAACATAATTTCGACTTGGAACGCATAAATAAACAAGCCGAATTGCAGGGGAACGGACGCAATAATGTCCCGGGAAAACGCCCTAATTTACCTGAATACAAAGAGGGGGGAAGATCTTGATTCCTATATGAGACGCTTTGAAATTTATGCGAACCTAAACAAGTGGGAAGGCAACGAATGGGGGAGCAATTTTAGCTGTTATTTATCTGGGAGATCCCTTTCTATTTACAATTCGTTGAGCTTGGAACAAATTCAAGATTGGGAAGTAGTAAAACGAACTATGCAAAACAATCTTCCGGAAGAGAGATATCGTTCTAAATTGCGCTTTGCAAAACGCGGCATTTCTGAGACGTGTGCACAATTTTTAGTTAGGTTAGAGAACTATATTAAGAGATGGGTAGAAATGTCACTTATCGGAAAGACGTACGACAACCTCCGCGAGTTGTTGTTAAAAGAGCAGTTGCTTAATTGTAGTCCCCCCGAGATCCGCGTTTTACTTCGCGAGAACCATAAACTTCCAATTTTAGATCTTGTAAAAAAGGTTGATATGTACGAAGAAGCAAGAAAATATGATTCTTCGTTTAATAAAGTTTCCAATAATTTTTCCCGATCTAATTCTCAGAAACAAAATAGTTGCAATACGAATCAGAATCAATTTGCGAACAAAGTTCCGAGTGTAGCCCAATGCCGACGGTGTGGACGCCGTGGGCATGATATAAAAGCATGCCATACGTCACGTCATTCCGTTACGGGAAAACCCCTCATGAGCAATAGTTGTCTAGTAAAAGTAGGGGATGAACTTCAGGAACCAGAGTCTAGTAGCGAGTCTTTAGTTCCCGAAGCGTCGGACAGTGACCTCCCCAAGAGGTGACCTGTACGCAGGATACCCAATTGTATGAAATGGTACCTGTTGCGTCGCTGGTTTCTGTAACTACCGCCGACCCGGTAATTGGAAATAGCCGAATGCCTATAGCTATCGGCAAGGTGAATGGTCACGTGGTTAGAACCCTTAGATATATGGGTTGCGATGGTGTGATAATTCGTGAAAGTTTGGTTAAGCCCCACCAATTTACCGATGAGAAAAAGTCCTGTATGCTTATGAATCGTTCTACAGGCGAACAAAATAAAATGGCTAAATTATATGTCGACACCCCTTTTTATTCTGGCGATGTTAATGCGTTGTGACTTAAAACACCTGTGTGTGATTTGGTTATTGATCAAATCCCAGGTGCTAAATTGCCTTGTAAGTGTGAGATGGAAGCGTCTGTTCTAAAAGCAGACTTTCATGGTGGTAATAACCCGGTTACAGTCAAGACTAGTTTTGGTAACAATCGCGCTAAAACTAGCTTGCATAGTCCCAGGAGGATTTTTATGCAAAATAATAAATTGGGTAGTCTAAAGTCTGGAAAAAAAGATTATAACCCAAAATGAGAGTAGTCCTTCGAGGATTTCAGCTCAACTTGGCGCGATTCCAAGAAAAAAAACTAATGACACTGGTGCAATTCCAATAAATAAATCTACCTGTGAAAACGACGCAGTGGAGTACGATAACAATTTGGCCATTGAGACGGATGTCATCAATGAAGCTTGTGCCGGTGAAAACGACTCCGACACTTCCCAAAAGAATGTAGACATCCAAAATCCTGAGATAGTCTCCTCCATCGCGCCTCAAGGGTCAGAAGCCCTCCTGACCTGCGAAAACACGCAGAAAGGTACGGAACGCCCTCACCGTTCAAAGAGTGTAGATCAAATGATACCAGTTGTTAACTCGTTTACAACTGAAAGAGGCTCGACTCGCCTTTGTGACTCGTTGCCACAAGAAAATATTAATCAGTCTGAACAAATGGACCCGGATGAGACCCCCCGTGAATCGAGCTCTCGTATAATCGAGGCTGGTGCAGTAGAAACTCGTGCCCAGATTTTTGCTCAAAAGCGGAAACGGAGCCCTCTCGTCGTAGCTAAAACTGATGAATTTGATAATCTAATTAATACTGATACGCTTTTAGCTGCCCAACAGGAAGATAGAACGTTAGATAGAATTTTTAAACTATGCAAGTCGAACCAAATTCAACGAAATGGAAAGGGTGGACTCGCTACAGTTCAATTTAGAATGAAAGAGAAATTATTATACCGTTATTATAAATCTCCTAGAGTAAATTTTCCCTGAAAAACATAGACAACAAGTTATGAAAGTTGCGCATGACTCGATTATGGGAGGACATTTGGGACACCGGAAAACGTTAGATCGTATTATGTCGCAGTTTTTTTGGCCCAACCTCCATGCTGATGTAAAACGTTACTGTCAATCTTGTGACGTGTGTCAGAAAACTACGCCCCGGGGAAGGGTAGGCAAGGTCCCTTTAGGACACATGCCATTAATCAGCATACCATTCCAGCGCGTAGGCGTAGATCTGGTGGGTCCCATTATGTCTGATAATCCCCGAAAATATCGGTATATTTTGGTACTCGTGGATTATGCCACTCGATATCCCGAGGCTTCTCCACTCAAAAATATACGTGCTGAAACTGTCGCTGAGGAGTTAGTCAACATGTATAGTCGGGTTGGAATCCCTAAAGAAATTTTGACAGATCAGGGGAAACAGTTTATTTCTGATGTCATGAGGGAAGTATCCCGACTGTTCGTGCGTCAGATGACGACATCACCCTACCATCCGCAAACTAATGGATTGGTTGAGAAATTTAATGGGGTTCTAAAACGAATGTTAACCCGGATGTGCGAAGAAAGGCCCAATGACTGGGATCGTTATATAAGCCCCCTCCTGTTTGCGTATAGGGAAGCCCCTCAAGCTAGCTTAGGGTTTTCGCCATTTGAACTTTTGTATGGCCGTACTGTTCGAGGTCCCATGGCAATCTTGCGCGAGCTCTGGACTAATGAGAATGTAGAACCTGAAACTAAACTTACATATACTTGTGTTCTGGACCTCAGAAACAGATTAGAACAAACTTGCGAAATGGCTTTAAAAGAGCTGCATAAATCTAGTGATATATAGACATCACTTTAATAAAACTAAGAAGAATAGACAGTTTCAAGTTAATGATAAGGTTCTTCTCTTATTGCCAGTATCCCACGACAAACTACATTTGCAGTGGCAGGGCCCCTTTGATGTGAAGGAACGGGTGGGGGAATGTGACTATAGAATTAACAAAGGTGGGAAAATTAAACTTTTCCACGCTAATATGTTAAAGTGGTACGAAGAGAGAGCGCCCTCTGTGACTAAAGATAAGTACGTTGTTGAGTACGATATCAAGTTGACCACAAGTGAACCAATTTTTACCAAACAATACCCCCTTCCTTTGGCCTCCGAAGATGTGTTCAAAAAAAGGAAGTCGATGATATGTTAGAACTCGACATTATCGAGAGATCCAACTCCCCTTACTCATCACCAGTGGTCTTAGTAAAAAAACAAGATGGCACTATTCGATTATGCAACGATTACCGCAAGCTTAACCGAATTACGGTTTTCGATGCAGAACCGATGCCTAACCCCGATAAATTATTCGCTCGTTTACATGCAGGAAATTATTTATCTAAATTCGATTTAACAAAAGGTTTTTGGCAAATCCCTTTGTCACTAAATGCTAAAGAAAAGACGGCATTTCAGACCCCCCAGGGTCACATGCATTATAAAGTTCTCCCATTCGGACTCAAGAATAGTCCTGCAAATTTTTCGAGAATGATGCGGATAATCCTATAGGGTTTGCAGGACAATGTAGTTAATTTGATTGACGACATTTTGATGTACAATTCTACTTGGCAAGGCCATCTTCGCACGATTGAAACTGTCCTTTAAACGTTTG